TGTAAAATTCGATACTGTTTAGTACAAAACTGTCTAACTCTTCGGAAAAGAAGGCAGATAAGCAAAACACACACACACACGCACGCACGCACGCACACACACACATGCCTTCCTTCTCTTACCTGATATATGGCAGGAAGGCGAAGGAGAGGAAAAATCCCGACACGAATCCGCAGATGTGGGCAAAGTTGTCGATNACACACACACACACACACACACACACACACACACACACACACACACACACACATGCCTTCCTTCTCTTACCTGATATATGGCAGGAAGGCGAAGGAGAGCCTCTCCTTCGCCTTCCTGCCATATATCAGGTAAGAGAAGGAAGGCATGTGTGTGTGTGTGTGTGTGTGTGTGTGTGTGTGTGTGTGTGTGTGTGTGTGTTTTGCTTATCTGCTTTCTTTTCCGAAGAGTTAGACAGTTTTTTACTAAACAGTATCGAATTTTACACATTTTTATATTAAAGCTTACTTATTTGCACCATTATGTCTATTGCAAATGTATATAGTATTTTTTTAGTCTTTCTGAAAGAGCTTGAGACTCAAGATGTTCATTTAGGCTGAAACATGGCACTGACTGTCCAAAGAAAATAAATACCAGCATCTCTGGATCTTATTTTTATTTCTCTCTGCCTCTAGTCCTTCATTTAAGCTCAGCTGTAGTTTGTAAATAGTGTTGATATTCTTGTCAGTCTCTTTGGCTTGTTCTGTAGAAAGTCAACACCTTTTTTATGGAGAGTTCTGAAAACTCAATTTTAAAATAAAATAATGCACTAATTTGGATTTGATGTGTCTTGATGGTCCCAAGTTTTGGTAGTAGAGGGGGAGGTTTTGACTCCTAGACAACACCATGGCTCTGTTTATTCTCTCATGTTTATTCTACAGTTTTCTTTCATCCAAAGAAATATGCAGATCACCCCAGATGGGACTCGAACCCACAATCCCTGGCTTAGGAGGCCAGTGCCTTATCCATTAGGCCACTGGGGCTTTGCACCCCACTATTTATTCTGACTCAGCCAAAATACATCCTGTTGAACTGTAAATCAACAATACTGGGAACACAATATGTGGGTTTAAATGAGACCACAACGGCCCCTAAAGCTGCTGTTCCTCTCGTTCTTCGCTCCCAAATGGTGGAACTAGCTCCCCATTGATTTCTAGGACAACTTCAAGTCCAGCAATCTTTCACCTACATCTTGGCCATTAAATTAAAACTTACAAAATGTTTTTTAAAAATGACAGCACTTCGAATGGTTCGGCCTATTTGAAGCTAATGCCTGATTCTGGCTGTTCTGAGCTTGCATCTTGATATTTCATCTAACTTATTGTAATTCGCTTTTGATGAAAGCTAAATAGAATTGAATATAATGAAGTGCAATGAATAACACATCACCCTCCTTTTCAGCTTTGGGCAGTCGGACATGTACAGGAAGCGGGTGCAGATCTGCGTCTTCCTGCTGGTCTTCCTCGGTCTGCTCGCAGCGTTGGCCGTCCTCTTCTACGTTTACCCGGTGAAGTGTGACTGGTGCGAGTACCTCACCTGCATCCCCATCACCGACAAGTTCTGCGAGAAGTACGACCTGAACGCACACCTGCTATGAACATCAGCCCGGGAAAATAAAAGCAAAGACGCTAGAAGAATAAATGTCATCTGTACGGACGCTGGACTGGATGTTGATGACGTTCGATGTGGAGCTAATTTCCTGGAATAATAACCAGGATTTAATGTGGATGTGTTTGTTTCGAAAGGTACAACAGCCCCATTATGAGTAAAGGCTGCGCATGAAAGCCTTCAGGTATTTAATTAAAGGTATTCACACACATGGGAGACAAACTTTCAATGGATTTCTGTGTGATTGATCTCTAGCTGGGCTAATCAATGACTGTCACACTGGAGGAGTTGTTTCCTGCCAAAATATGTACCTTATTTTGTGTTAAAAATTGACTGAACAGCACCGCCTAGTGGCCAAAAGGAGCCGTGCAACCAGAGACACTGAAGTGAATAAGCAAGGGACTTTTCTTTTGTACTTTTGTTTACTGATGTCCAAACAATTGTCCATTTACTGGATCTCCTCAGAGTTAAACATGCCAAGAAATGAGTTTACAAAATGTGCCTTATTGACACAAAACCCCACACACATACACATCTTTGTGCCATGAATCACTTTGTGGCAACAGTTTCAGATGTTTTGGGTCCTCTTTCTTGACCTTTCCGGAAACTGCGTCACACAATCTGACAAAGTCATTTAAAAAATGTTTTCACAAATTATTGATGGCTGAATTTCAACTTTTTTGTTATTTTTGTACCACCCTGAAAAGTTTCCGCCACAGCCTTTAAAGCACTTCAATCACAAATGCATTTTTATTTTAATATTCGCCAAGTGTTTAATCTGTAAAAATCACCCTGTATGTTAATCTGCTCGTTGTGGATGGCTCCTACTGAGCTGAATGTGTGTTTTTATTCAATATGGTGGTGTTTTAGCTACCTGACAATAAACACAACAAAGCACAGAGTTCATCTCTTCTTTTTAAATGTATATGTTACCTGCCTACAAAGGATATGTTCAGTAAGCTGATCTTCTATGCTCCAGGTGAGGCTTGAACCCACAACCTCGGCATCACTTGCGCCTTGTCCTTATACTAGCTTCAATCAAACATCTGTAGAGGTAAAGAGAAACATAATCTCCAATAAAGCAGTCACCAGTTGCTTTATAGAGTCTTTCTACAGAACGGCCACTGCCTCTATAACAGCTGTCACACTTCAACTTCTGTGATGGAAATTATGTTTGCGTGATAATACTGAAAAACACATATCTGTAAGGAACACACCTATATGTCAATCTGCTCGGTAAGAGTAGCTGTTGCTGAGGTGATATTGTGTTTTTAGTCAAAGTGGTGGTGTTAAGGCTGCCTGACAATAATCACAGAGTTCAGCTTCTTTTTTTAAACATTATATTGCCTGCAGATGTCCAGAGAGCTAAACTTCTCTGCTCAAGCCACTGACAATGCTATTTACACCCGGGTGTCCGTAGCTAACAATGCTATTTACACCTGGGTGTCTGTAGCTAACAATGCTATTTACACCCGGGTGTCCGTAGCTAACAATGCTATTTACACCTGGGTGTCTGTAGCTAACAATGCTATTTGCACCCGGGCTACACATTAGATACTGTGTTGGATGAATAGGTATTTATGGAAATGTTTCTTTGATAACTTCATTCCCTTGTGCTGCTGCGTCAAATTGTAATTCCCCTACAGTACATGTATAAAGGCACTTCTTAGTACCTTCTCTAGTCAAAACATGTCTACACTCCATAAAACAAAAACAAAGGCGCCATCAAATATTTATAAAGCCTAATGTTTTAATATATTATAGGCAGATGCTATTTACACCCGGATGTCCGTAGCTAACAATGCTATTTACACCCGGGTCGGGTGTCCGTAGCTAACAATGCTATTTCCCATCTGGGTGTCTATAGCTAACAATGCTATTTACAGTCTTCTGACATTTCCTGTTTACATATACAAATTAAACGACAGTGCCGTAAATGTGTGAATAGATGCTGGCTGTTGCCACAGTTAAAGGTCCCATGTCCTGCTTTTCTGGTTATTACCCGTCCCCTTGTGTGTTATGAAGGTTTTTATGCATGTAAACGGTCTGCAGAGTCACAAACCCTCAAAGTACACCCTGTAGCGAGTAAAACTCTAACAAAGAAAATACCTGTCTATGCTGCCCCAGAACGCCTCGTTGGAGATTTCTCTTTTTCCATTGTTGTCTTCCTGGGTACAGTGACGTGCCCATACCCAAATGGACCCATTGGTCCAAATGGACCAATCCGTGGAGCCGTTACGTTACGTCCGTGGAGCCGTTACGTTACGTCCGCGGAGCCGTTAGGTTAAGTACGTGGATTGGTCCAAATGGACCAATCCGCGGACTTCCTCACACACACACAATCAATCTTTTCTCAGCTGCAGCTCCGCCGATTTCTCCTCCCTGAGGATGTTAGGTCCACCCCCCACTTGTAAAACATAGCACTTTACCCCTGCTTACACCTATATGCCGTGAGCTGATTATCGAGCCTTCATTGTAACAGTCGTGGGTACACTGTGTATGTGCGTGTGGGGAATGTTGCAGTCGAAAATTCCACTGTAGCGACCGGTACATTAATGGGAAACCCGACATGTTTGAGCACCCTCTATGAAACGTCAAGATACCCCACAGCACCCCCAAAAGAAAATCTGCCACTGTGGGCTAAGCCCCTAATGTTACCAGGTCCAGGAAACGCCCCTGCATCCTGGTATTGTTGTCATTCTGTTTTGATATACAATGCATTTGAACATACTAACACTTTTTCTGGCATACTTTGGTGCTCACTACCTTCAAACTATAGCCATGTTTTCTATAAACACTACCATAATATTACTCTGAAACAATTCTTAACCCTTCTTGCTGAAAATGGCCTTATCCACACACTGTTTGGTACATTGGTGTGGTTTTATTCATCAGGTTGTTAGTGATGATAATTGGACATTTCTACAGCAGCTATTTTGATATGACATTGTAAGGTAAATACAGCTGTAATTTATAACATTAGTTAGGCCCTGTTCCATTTATTTTATCTATCTATCAACACCTTTGTTTAATATGTAATTTAAAAACAGCTGCTGTGAAAAGGACTTACAGCTGGGGTATTGTTTTCTTTCATTGGACTTGGTGACATTTTTACTGAGATTGTTGTAATCTCAGTGTTTAGCGGTTGGCCACTAGATGGCATCCCATCACCAATCACTCACAGATTGAACCTGGTATCAGGGTACATCATGATTCTGCTTAAGGTAGCTACTAATCATAAATTGCTTTGTTGTTCTTTGGGATTTGGATGTCATTAATTCAAGCAGTAAGTTTATTATCGTGCAGGACTCTTGTTGGTGCTCCCTGTGCGACCTGCTCGTTCTCCCCGTATTTCTCTATCAGTGGCTCTAGCATTCATTAAGGCTTGTCTGTAATTGGGTCTAAAGTGTGTACTCATGTTGGAGAGGAGCTCTGAGACCACAAACACAGACGGCACTGATCTGCATACAAAACACAACAGTATGTGCACGTAATATTATTCATTTAAAACGTAATAAAAAGGCAATACTTGAGGTCACACTCTAGAAATGTTTAAATGTAAATACATTTAGGAAATAAAACGTTTTTACAAGGATGCAGTGTTTACTTTTCTTTCTCCACACACACATACAGATAGACAGAGGATGATAGAGACCTTTGCAATGGCTAGCCTGAGTTATTGATTGTCAAACCATTTGACATTTTGGTCATCTGGTTATTTGAGGGCAGAGGGGATTTCTGTTCAACTTTTGTGATGACCTTTTTTATGAAGCCTTATCATTCGTGTGTGTCCTAAAGACTGTATTGTTGACATTTTACAAATCAAAAAGAGAAACAAGTGGCCTTTTACCAGAGGTAGTTTGACATTTTGTGAAAAGCACTTTCTTTGTGAGAGTTCAATGAGAGGATTGCAGCTCTTTTGTCTGTAGTGTATGATTTTAGCTAGCACTAGCAGACATTAGCTAAGCTTAGAACAAATACTTTTTTTACATTTCTGCGAAGGCATATGTACAAATTAAACACATATGACAAACTATGTCAATAGTTTATAGATGTGAGAAAGTGGGATGATTTTGTAAAGTGAACAAAGCCAACTGTTTCCTCTTATTCTAATCTTTATACTAAACTAGGCTAACATGCTAGCCTACTGGCTGTAGCTTCATATTTAGCATAGAATAGGCAACAAAGACTTTGTGTTTTTACGTTTCTGCTTATGTACAAATTAAATAAAAATGCTTAACATGTTACTAAGTTAGTTTATAGATGTAAGAAGTTGGGTAGATTTTGTAAATATTGGACAAAGCTGGCTATTTCTATAAGCTAGGTTAACAGGTTAGCTAGCCTACTGGATGTAGCTTAATATTTAGCGTACGGCCCAGCTTTCCCCGTCTATTTAAAGTTTACAAGAAACATTATGCATTAAACAGATCGACACAGTGACATTTATTTGGTAAATCTGTTTCCATCACACTTTCTTTCATTTAGCTTAATCAATACCTCAAGTTTTTAACCTGAGACTAGGGTAAAAATGTTTTTGCAAGATCTATTTCAATTTTGCTGTTTCTGCTCCTTTTGTATTGTGCAAAACACATGCATGTAAGCAAGTGGTTTGGAGAGAATATATTGTTATAATAGAAATATTGAATATGGTAGTTTTAACCAAAATCGACTTTATATGTCATGAATCACACATACTACTATGTGATCTAATACCCTCGGTCCCCCTCCTCTTTTTGTCACAATAAAACCTGGTGGAGCAGCTAATAGTGACAAATTAATGACCCCGCCAACATGCAGATTGTGACAAATCATTTCGCCACTTCTTATTCTGTCATCTCGTGGGTGCTTGGTCGTAAAAACAAGCAGCACCCAAAGCCATTAGAGACCCTTCCCCCTACTCAGTGCCTCCCCCACCCCTTGCCGACTTCTCAAAGGAAATTATCTCTCCTCCCACCTTCCACCTATCCTCCCCCCACACACACTTGTCTCTTCTCCAATCTAAGTCCATCCTGTCACGTTCTCCTCCTCCTGTCCATGTCATGCCTCCCAATTTTCATCACTCATTCATCATTTGGATTTTCCAACAACTCTCCACAACCCCCGACTCTTCATCACGGCTCCTATAGAGATGGTAATGTGACATGAAGAGGATGGTATCTATGAGCTATTGATAAGCATCAAACGAGACACACTTACGTACCCAACAGAACCCCCACACACACACACACACTTTCTCCTCATCATCACGTCTTTTAATAGATGCATGTTTTTCGAAGGAAATTAACTCAGGTTTCACAGGTTGAAGGAGGGAGGGCATATACTTAAGATGTGTATATAGACCAAACGGGAATAATAAGTGCACATAAATGGCATTTCAATTTCAAAATTCATACCCATGTTTATGAGCCCGCTAACAACACCGTATTCAAAACATTAAAAAAAAATGTCAGCCTTTTTGAAAAAATCTCTAGCTGTTTTGATTTGGGAATATTTGGGATAGCCCGCTTCTCATTTAAAGTTCAATACGTTTATTATAGTAAAAGATAAGATAAACGTTTATTAATCCACATCGTGAAACTCAGGTGTCAGAGCAGTAAGACTGCAAAACAAGATAGGTAAGAGTTTAAATAAGACTGATAAGAATTATAAAAAAAAAAAAAAGATTATAAAAAATCAAGTTCATATCTTTGACAATAGATAGGAACAAATGTTGGGATTTAGAACAAAAAACATGATTAATGACCTTTCATTTAGATCTGACAATTAATAAACTTGTAAAAATGTATACTCCTGTCTGTTAATTATATCCTCTAAATGTATGTGTATGTCATATGTTGTTACGCTGCAGGTTGGTAGAGTCTTTCTATGTGGAGGTCAAGCCTTGATTGTGGTGCACAAC